AATAAAAAAAAAATTAAGGAAATTGGTTAAGATTTGACGGAGATATGAGGTTTCCCATGGCATACACTTGCGCGCCTGGTTTCGTTATGCACGACCGCTCACTCCAGAAGACATATTAACGGAATGATGAGACGCCGGGAAATTTTTTTTTCATTTAAAAAAAATGAAACTTTTCACGTTTCATTTTCAACTTTCCACGTCGAGGTGAGCGGTGGTGCACGCGATATACGTGCTATCACTTGAAACGCCATAACTTTCTCGAAAATCAACCAAATTAAGAAATTTTTTTTCGTTCTATTACTCATAATAAGCAGAAACAAGTAGAGCCGGACTAATTTATGGAAATATGGAAATCATAGGTGAGCTCAACATTGGTGAATAGCTTTCAAAGTGAACCAATTAATACCCGTTAGGATTGTGTGAAAAGAGATGTATGTAGTTAAAAGTGTGAACGACTAAGCAATCATGAGGTTCATAGAATATATTTCGTTTCGCGAGGTATATTTTTCTAAAGCGAGTTTCAGATTATATTTGGTGCGCTCGAGCACTGTCAGTTCAAGCGGCTCATGTAGCATCCTAGTGATCTGCCTCAGATATGAATGTAATGGAAAGGAATAACTTTGGGGTACAAGTCAGCTTTGCGTTTATGCAGAAATGGTTCGTGTCGGGCGATGAGAACCTGAAAGCAACATGTAAATCCATACAAGAACAAACACTCACCGAGTTGAAGCTACTCATCTCAGCTAATTCAACATATGCAAAGAACTTTTGAAACAGTTCGACAATCTTCAAGTCAGTCAGTTGCAGTTTAAAAACTGAAAGAATAAACCAAACCTCTAGAAGAGCTTTCTTTGAGTTACTCGATTTCTTTCCAACAACAACATTGCTCACAAGAACTCCTGAAAAAGGTGATTTCTATCTTCTTCTCATATAACTGCACAACCATTTCTCTTGATAACTTGAGATAATAACTTCAAAGAAGAATACTTAAGAAAATCTTCAACTGGAGAGACATAGCGTGCGTTCATAGAGTTGTATGTTGCATCGAGCAGAACTCCATCCATTTGTTTTCCTAAAGCAATCATTTATCGTTCCCCTTATTCTTGATTCTCACCATCGTTTCTCAATCCTTCCAGATAGGAAACTCCTTCCTGAACTTTAACCCGATAACGATCAGATTCTGTGACATTGAACCATTTCCTCGCTACGTAAGCAACCGTAGGGCTCAATTCAACCACAGTGATGTTAAGCTAGCAAGGAGTGAATCTTAAACTGATGTAGTGATGAACAAAACTTACATGTGGGTAATGACTGTCATAATAGTTGGAAAAATCTCCTCCACCCAAACCAATGATAGTAATATCATACATCCTTTCGTTTGCTTTACGAGGTATAGCACCCGACCAGAAAAATGCATCTGCAGTGTCCGTGTAACTTAGCTTAGAGCTATGACTTACCACATATTGCAAACGGATATGGATCGAAACTCATTCTCTCCTTATGCGGCATCCACGTTGAAACATCATAGAAATTTTCATTATAATCTGAATTATGCAGAAGTGTAAATAAATAAAAGGAAACCTAACCTTGAGGAGTTTTTAGTAAAACAGCTGAATAACCTAAGCTGAAGTTAAGATCCACACCAAATACTCTCAAGAAGCAAGGCCCAAATACAGTTATAGTAATAAGCGGGAAAAGAGAGAGAGAGAGAGGAAAACTTACTCATAACCTATATATCCTAACATATCATATATTAAATAACATTTATCTTTCTCTTCACATATTTCTTCTCGAATCTGGGGTCCTGAAATACACATCAAACTACAGAGAGGAGATAAGATGAACCTGAGGTCTTATAGCGCAGTTTGAGAGTATTCTCGATGATAGGTCCAGCAACGGCATCGTACAGGGATAGAGCATTGACGGAATGTATAAGAAACTATCAAATATGCTGATTATACATGAATCATATAAATATAATTACCAAAATGCATATATTCATATTGTTAGAGAGTCATATGGCCTCTGAAAAGAAGTTTTTTCAATAGCAAACGGTTGTCAGGGAAATGTCAGAAGGAAATGAGTTCATGAGGAGAACTCAGAGCGAAATGTAACAGAAATGAAGAAAATAGTTTATTTTGCCAGAAAAGGAAAGAGGCAGAAGCATCAATACATATAGAATGCAGTGTGGAGAAGCAGTGCTTGGGAAGCAGAATGTTCCATCAGATCTACATTTGGTTCATAGAGAACCTGTTCTTCGTTTGAGTACGCGACAAGAAATGTTACATTCACACAATGAAAAACTATATTTACATAACAGTTCTCTTTTGATGAAGCAGAAGCAACAGAAGTAGAAGCAGATTATTTCTTCCACTTTCTTAAGACCAAAGTATTGTCAGTTATGTATCATCATGGCTAGTGATGCTGATGAGAACTCCCCAAAGACTATAAAACTGCCAAACATGGACAAGTTATTTGTCAGATCATTCCTGATTTCTCTTCCAACACACAAATTAGCTATTAATTACAACGTCGTTTATCCAAAAATATTTTTTCTTCTCATAAGATATGCCACCCACCATGCTACTAGACACGCATTACATACATGTCTTTCACGTGAAGTTCCACGTATATGTTATTTCACTTTACTAGACGCAATGGAGCGGTTGCTTTCACTACTCCCCATCTTTCGAGTTAAGTAATTACAGGTTCATACGTTCATCTAATAAAAGGGAAATGCGAAGATTAAACAACAACACAGGTTATTCAGGTAAGTAAATCTGGTGAGGAGGATTAAGCGAAACTGGAATGAAAGGGTCAATTTCATTACTTTCACCTATTTTTATAATAATAATAATACTAATACTATTTATATATATAATGATCATGGAAATCAATGATAATGAAATAGCTGACAATCAAGTGATAGCTTACAGTTTCGAGCATCGTTTGTACAGACAGAGATGACGACAGAGGGATTCAGATGGTTGATGGATGAGAATCACGTACATCCATTTCCAATGCAATGAACATATTATGTCATTTCTTAATTGATATGTCAATCATGACCAAAAATAAAAATAACATTTCATTGTAAAATCTCATCCAGTCTACCTCAATTGATTTCATAAATCAGCTTCCGGTGATGACCAACAGGCCATATCGGCCGTAATCCCTTGCTACTGATCCTCTGAGTACCATTTGGTTTGACCTAATAAAGCTCTTCTTCTCATATTTCAATCACACACCATTCCTATTCCGAATCTCTGGTTGAACTATCTATATTCGTCTGATAAAACAAAAATAAAAAAATAGATATCAGCCAATGTATTGGACGTATCAACTATCACAGAGCCTACTAAGGCACATCCTACTCCTCTCAGTTGTATTTTTAATAACCCAAGGTAAGAGTTTGTTTGTTTCAATCACATCTCCAGACTACAATCTAAACTACAGCTAATACTAATTGCTTTGTGCAACATAGAAATTTCCGTCTCAAGTGTGTTACACCGACAGGGAGAAGGTCTGAGACTACAAGTATTAAACTTCAAATATGTTTTGTTAAGACCTCAAGTATCTTTGACGGAATGCCAGAGATACTGTTTATCTCAGCCAGCTGATTGTTTATCAGCTCAATATGATTTCTATAGAAGAAACTGTGAAATATTCAATACTCCATCACCTTTGGATGTTTCTGAGATAGCAGGCAATTTCAATGATGTCAATGCTCTTCCATATGAGAACGTTTCAGAGTCAGAGAGTGTAGGAAGATATCGAAGGAAAAGAAACTTACCTGGAATGAAGCCGTTTGAAGAGTTATACATAGAATTGAATTAAGTGATGAATTTCAAACTCTTCCAGATGCATTCCTAGTATTCAACGATCGATTGGAGTTGTCCATCTCATCCCTAACATCTCTTGCTTGACTCCGATGGTTTCATTCAAACTCATGACACTTTCTTATGAATTCCTTACTTGCAGGATAAAACAGATGTGAGACATCACAATAAACAACTTCCGCAATTACTTATTCAACAATTGAATAGAGCAATGACGGAAGAGCCCGAGAAGCCACCCAAAAATCCATTCTCTGGAGTGGAGGTTTTCCCTCATGGGTTGACCATCTCATAATCCTTCTCTTCTTCAGGTTTTACCTATCGTGCCTGATTGTCCTATAGGAGAAAGAGCTAGGATTCAAATAATTGATGGAGTTGATGTAAAACAGATGAAGCCATTAATACTTAATCACAATCAAAGTTTAGGTCGCTACTCCAGCTTCTGTGAGCTTAACAACCTCTTCCCCAGAGCAATGCATTGAGTGCTGCCGATCGAGCATAGTTCAGTTTCTCATTCGAACGTCTATATTAGAAAAAATGTTTTCAGTACCCAGATGGCCGACGTCTCCCTCTTCTTTGCCGTTCATCGGCATATAATCGCCTTACGTCAATATGCTCGCTCTTCCACGATTCATTGAACCCCAATGGCTATTTGGAATATCAACCAGATTATAATGTTCTCTATATGGAAAAAATCTGTGTTGCGGGTAATCTTAGAAATTGGGATATGTTTTGAATTCATTTTATCAGAGAAAATACTTCCTCTGTCGTGTGACGATGTCTTCCGACGAGTGCCTCAACATATCATTCTCGGACATGCAGCAGAGATTGTGACATCTGCAAGTCAATTGGAATGTGTGAGGGAATGCATTGAAGCTAAGGTTCCCTTTTCGTGTCATATCTTTCTGAGCATACTATTCGTTCATAGAACCGTCAGTTAGATTGTCGTTCTGTTCTCCATTACATTGATGTGCCAGTCAGTAACTGTATTCTCAATATCCACACAAGGAACTCTCGTCCTGAATACTTTGTACCTGAGCTCAAGTAAGAATCTATATGAGATTGAAGCGAATTGTGTGTGCTTGCAGATACAAGGTAGACTACATAGAATTATCTCCTTGTGCTTTATTACCCCTAGCTCTTTCAAAGAATACAGGTGAGATCTTCCTCTTCATCTCATAGTCATAAGATAAGCCAGTTTCAGTATCACCATCGGTATCTTCTGTTGTCGACAATTCAGCTTTTCTTCTCCAAAACTCAATCAAGAAGCCGTCCATAACGATCGTTAAACCCAAATGTTTTTTGAAACTTTAGTGAATGGAAAAAATAATATTTTTAGTACTTAATGTGGGTCAAGCCTCTGTTGAGTCGGAGTGGAGTGAATGGACTATCTGTGATCCCACTTCTGGCATAAGGGAAAGGGATCGCGTCTGTACAGATTGTGATGATAGAATTCAGGTTTGAACCTTTTTTATATTTGCATCCCTTTCGCTTTATAACTTTCTCCTCTTTCAGACCCAAGCCTGTATACCTAACTCCAACAATGACTTTGAAGAAGCTTTGAAGAAATTTGTCAAAGACAGAGAAGATTGTAAAAAAATAGTTTTATTAACCTCTTTACTTCTTTTATTCTCCATTCAGCTGCCGAACAAGTTGAAAGTGCCGGTTTCCCGAGAATGTCAAAAGCTTCAGAAGGAGTCATTCCATTCCGTTCGTTCGAACAACTTGTAAAGAACTTTAATTGATTATTACAGCAAATCTAACGCCTCAGGCTAGTCGAGACGGTCCAGTCGTTAGAGTACGATCTCAGAACAGCGACGTTGAATATTTCGGTCCACCAATGAATTCTCCCGAACGAGTCATACGAACTAACGAACTGATGAATGACTTCGATCTTCAGAGTCCTCAGAAACGTCTTTGAAAGCATAGGAGACAAGTAGATGAGAAAATCATTTGCTTCTTACGTCATTGTATAATTTAATAATAATTCCTATTAATAAACATTGTAAAAAGAAGTTTCGCAAATAAGGAATGTGTTTGACAATGATATGCAAATGCATTTCCATGAATGGGTTGTCAAAGAGACATACACCCACACAGACGACAGACAATCCACGTAGACGGAAGCGTCTATTGGTTTTTGAAGTTGAAACATGTTGGTAACCTTGAGCCGTTCGATGATACTTTCAGATAGAAAATAGTTTTGCAAACCTCGTGATTCGGCTTTTGTTCTTCAAAAGTATATCTGCGTTCAGTGAAGTCATAACTATGTGAAGGACAAACATGTGTGCTTGAGTCAAAAAAATTATTTTTTTCATCGTCAGTCCATGTGATAACCTTCAGATAAGGAAAGGCTGACTGCTGTTTGAGTAACACAAGGAGAGCTTCTTCCATCCACGTCTTCACATTGTTTGTTTGACATGCAATTGAATGTTTTAACAAATTGTTTTTTCAAAAACAACTTGGAATGCAACCGATCCTGTCTTCTCCATTTGCAATAAATAACTTTTTCACGTGAATGTATGAATGATACGTGAGAAATATGCAAATGAGATCGACCGATACACGGCTTCTCCTTTGTTGTCCAAAAAACTCTTTAGAATATTCATGAATTTAGCGATTAAACGTCTGATTCCTTCACATGCGCCTAGGTTCGAACGAACCGAAAAGCAGTTTCACCGGTTGGCGGCTTACCTACCAAGCACAGCTTCAGATGCAATAAGCCGTTTGAAGAGTCGTCCAATCAATTGAAGACAAATGGCTTATTCTAATGAAATTATGAGGAGGAAGAGACGAGAGTGAATACCTTTGAGTAATTCATAATGAAACTCTCTCTCTCTCTATGTCTCTCTCTCTCTCTCTCTCTCTCTCTCTCTGTAAGAATATGAGAAATCATTGGAAATGGTCATATTGCGTAAATTAGCTTGACAAATAGAATTAAAAATAATTGGAATGTATTGCAATAAGAATGAAGATGATGTTTACTCCTTTTTCAGCTTCTTCTTTAACAACGCCATCGTCATCGTCATCAACGTCCTCTCTACAGAATCATTTGCCTGCTTTTGGTTCGGAAGTTTTTGCATTAAAACAAGATTTAAGCTTGTGTAATTCCTTATGGGAGGTCGACCTTCGCATAGATCTAATGAAATATTGCCGGAGGCAATGGGTGGATACATCATCATGACTAACATCCAAAAAAGGAAGAACATTAACATTTTTTTATTTGAATTACCTTTTAATTAAGATTCATCGTCACTATAGAAAGCGCTTGATCTGCTTAGCAGCAAGGTGATCAGAAATCGCGTGTGTCAGACAAGTTTTTGTATACATTTCTTTGTGTTTCAAATGAAAAAGCTTATAGTTCTGATTGGGCAAACTTTCACGATAATCACTTCCCCCTTCTCTCTCTCGTAGTAGGTAACTCCTCCTTCTCCATTCCCCTCTCTCTCTCTCTTTCTTCCTCCCTCTCTACCTCCATCTCATCTCTCCACTTCCTTATCATTATCAATCAGAAGTTTTTTTTTCCATTTTTTCTGCTTCACAAGGACAAGAGGACTTAAAACTCTTTAAAAAAAAACTTTTTTTTGTGTCTGATAAATGGTCATTGGATGAAGATGTCAATCATGACAGACTTCAAGCATAAGCTGGTTTCAGATCAATTGATGACTACTATGTGACAAGTAAGGAAGAAGTATTCTCATCTCCGCCTTACAAAAAGTTAATCATTTGAACTTTAACGAAGACGTAGATGTTATGAGAATGAAGCAGACACCCCCCCCCCTCTCTATCTGAATGAAAGCATTCATTCGACCTTGTAATTTATGATCAAAAATCTTCTAATGATTCGGTTTTTCATTTTAAACTTCCTTTTTGGCAAATTCAAAACGATCTCCTGAAGAATGGAAGTTTCAAATAGTTGTTAAAGAGGTTAGGATAGTAGTTGAGGGTTGTTGTTCTAACCATATTCTCATTTACAGTTTTCAATCGAATGTTTCATGTTCTCTCTAATGGGATCAGACATCGACGTCTGTTTCATCTCAAAATAACAGTTTTGTAACAAAATAATCTGATGTTCGACAATCAACTCAAATAGTTCTGACAGTTGACGACACTGTTTGAGTAGGAAGCTTCAGCTTGAGTGCGCAAAGTGGAAGAAGCTGCGGCTAACTGTACTTTGATGAGTTTTAGCCTTGTCAAGCGAAATCTTGATCCATAAGGCCGAACACATTGACAATCGTCGTCATTTGGTTTCCAAAGGTATATTTGATGTTTCGTTCTGAAGACATGAGAGATTCATCAACAAAATATGATTGAAATCCGAGAGAGCTTTGACACTCACAGATCGAATAGAGAGAGAGGCGGACTGAATGGTTGGTGAGCTCCCAGTGAAATGGGCAAAAAACGGGTTTGGTCCATATACGGAAGTATCGGAATTCAGTTTAGCTAAATGTCCTTCTATTGTGTTTCAATGATGTGCCAGTTGTATTTTCACCTACGTACTTCACCTTATTTCATTTCCTCTCTCTTTATCACATTCGGTGATGTAAATATGTCCTTGAGGACGGTTAGATTGAATTCCGACATCCGCCATCGTTCGATGGCATCTGAAGAACAAATGAAAGAGAGAATGGAGAAATGGGTGTGAAGACGAACTTCATGACGACTAAATAAGTATGTCAGATGAGTTTTATTACCGTATGGCTGTTTTGAGTGTCTCGGAAGACTATCAGATTCGAGAATAACGGAGAGAAATAAAGATGAAACGGCAGATTCCGAGAATAGCCATGAAGGGCATGAAATTGGTAAACAGAAAGAAACCATGAGAGGATGTGATACTGACACGATGGCAGGTAGATTTCTGGACTTCCAATAATTTCTGTTATCAGCAAGGTGAATGTTCTGTTACATGAAAGAAGAACGATTCGGATTGATTTGATTTGAAAGACAAGTCAATGACGAATCAAACAACCTTAGGGTGTAGCATGTTTGCCAACAACCAAGTCCTTTTGGAAAATGACAAAAATGATTCTCAAACGTTACTTCATTGTTTTCTATCTAATTGGAAATGAAAATGCTTTGAAAATATACGAAAACATCAAGAAGATCCAAAAAGAAGAAACAACCCGACAAGTCCAGATCAATCTGCAGCTCGTTTTTCTCATCTCAGCTTGGACTGGATGATTGAAAAGCAAAAGCTGTCTTATGTTACATGTTCATCTTTTTTTCCAGAAAAAGGAAAAAGCTCGCACAAGCCTTCGCGAACCCCCCCCCCCCCCCCCCCCCCCACC